AGTGCCGGGGCTGCAGCAGGGACAGGCCAAGTAATATAATTAATTCATAATATAAATAATTTGTAATATAAATAATCTTTGATAGTTCTTTTGGCTTTGTTCTTTTTTCCTCTGTGTTTTAGTTTTTCAATCCTGTCCATAAAATAAAAGCATTGTTTTGACATTTCTCATTTTGTTTTTCTCCACCTTCCCTGGAGCCACTGGCTGTGTTAATAGGAGCTGCACTGTTGGTGGCTTTAATAGAACTAAGGGATCTCCCAGCAAAGTTTTCTGCAAAGATGCCCTTTTGTTGCCTTCTCTGGAGCTGCAGCAGCAATGTCTGTGTGCAGAGCTGGGGACAGATCAGTGCTGAGTACAGCAGCCCTGCTCCTGCTGGCCATACCATTCCTGATCCAGGCCAGGAGCCATTTGCCTTCTTGCCCACCTGGGCACACTGCTGCCTCATGTCCAGCCTGCTGTCCATCAGTCTCTGCACGTCCCTTTCTGCCTGGCTACTCTCCAGCCACTCTCTCCCCAGCCTGTCGTGCTGCAGGGGTTGTTGAGGCCAAAGTGCAGGACCTGGCACTTGGAGTTGTTAAACCTCACCTTGTTGGATTTGGGCCCTGGATCCAGCCTGTTCAGGGCCCTGTGCAGAGCCCTCCTACCCTTCAGCAGATCCACACCCACATCCAGCTTGCTGTCGTCTGCCAAGATATCTTTAGTTCCATGGGTCCCTCAGTGTCACAATGGCCTCTTGGTTACTCCAGGCCCTGCACTGTCACAATGGTCTCCTTTGTTCCATGGGGCCCTCAAATGTGACAATAGACTCCTTGGTTCCATGGGGCCCCTCAGTATCACAATGTTCTTGTTGGTGCTGCAGTTTCACAGGGGCCCCTTGGTTCCATGGGGCCCCAGGGTGTCCCAATGGCCCCATGGTCACATGAGGTCCCACACTGTCACCATGGTCTCTGTGTTTCCATGAGTCCCCTCAGTGTAACAATGGACTTATTGTTTCCATTAGGCCACACAGTGTCACAACGTTCTTGCAGATTTCTTGAGGCTCCATCGTGTCACAGTGGCCCATTGGTTACACAAGATCCTGCAGTTTCAGAACAGCCCCTTGGCTCCACTGGGCCCTGGAGTCTCCCAAAGGTCTCCTTGATTTTGCAGTGCCAAAATAGTGAAACCCCTTGGTTACACAAGGCCCTGCAGTGTCACAATGGCGTCTGTGGTTCCATGAGGACCCAGAGTGTCATGATGCACCCCCTGGGTCCATTTGGCCTCACAGCACCACAGTGGACCCCTGCTTCTGTGGGGCTGCACAGTGTCACCATGGTCCTATTAGTTCCACTAGGCCCTGCAGTGTCACAATGGCCCCAGAGTGTCCCAATCATCACAGAATGACAGAATCAAATGGGCTGGAAAAGACCTTTGAGATGATCAAGTCCAACTAATGCCCTAATACTTCCTTGTCACCCAGACCATGCCACTAAGTGCCACTGGGGAGGGACAGTCACTCTGCCACCTCCCCCCTGGCCAGCCCATTCCAGTTCCCACTCACCCTTTCTGTGAAGAACTTCTTCCTATTGTGCAGCCTGAACCTCCCCTGGTGCAGCTTAAGGCTGTGTCTTCTTGTCCTGC